CAACATTGCAAAAGTGACGCATCTAACCTTGCAAGGAATGCATCAAATCACGATTCTGTGTTCTTGAGATAGTTGGAGATCGTTCCCGGCGCCAGAATAGCAGTTTTTATTTTTCCCCATTGACTTATAATGGTGAGGTCACGACAATGACCTGACCTCATATGACCTTCAGGAAAAATCAGAGATATCCAATTTGTGAGACTCATAATGGATACTAGATCCTGCAAGTTTCATTTCCCTGTGACATCTCCTCTGGCAGTGAGGGCGTTGCGAATTTTCGACATCTGAAGACCGTGCAGAGGTTCACTTATGACGTCATAGGTCAGTGACCTGACCTGACCCAAAAATGCGGTTGGTGTCAAAAGATCTGGCTTGAATCAAAGGTCAGGTATGCCAAGTTTCAGCTCTCTATCCGCAGCGTGTTCGGAGTTATCGCGAAAAAACCTATGGGGGGGCGGCACCCGCCCCCCCCCCCCTCGGCCGGCGAGGGTTAAAATGATATAAATGAAAATTGACATATCATCAGAGTGCACACGTTTTTTTTCCTAAACATATGTCACAAGTCACTGTGACAATATTACTGTATCTCAAGACCTGCCAAAGCTCGAGCAGCGCCATTGTTCGAGTGTCTCATCAAAGGTTGTCCGTGTGATGGATAACGGGGCGATATTGACCCAATGTCATGCCAGCCGCTTATTAGTAACATGGTGGCTTACCCAACCTGTCACGGGCGATATGGACAACAATCTACCTGGACTCTTTGTTCAAGACAACGGAGAAAGAATGGCGTCTAGAAAATATGTTACACCATCACCCCTATTCTCTCGGCTGTGAAAGAATGCCTGCCAAGAACAATTGCAGATTGTCAACCACTGTGTTTTACAAATATAAGCCTGCTGTTTAGACTTGTGATATAACTGGCATAAGGATTCAGGATTCACGAAAAGCCATGGATAGCATTATGACCCTGGAAAGAAGACCAGCTTCTTGGTCATTTATAATGGTAAATATTATCTCGGGAACGTTAACCCTCGCCCGCACATGCCATTTTCCCCATCCTAGAACGCACATGGGGGGGGGGGTTGCCACCCCCCCGCGCCATTTCGTTCCTGTTGGAGATAGAGCTTAGCGGTAAAGACCAAAAAGATTCTTTGGGAAGAGACAAATCCAATGATACCCAGTTTTACCTTCTCAGGTCAGTCATTGACCTTCCAGGTCAGGTCAAACTAAAAAATGTTGCTGTTTTAGGTCACCGTTGGATATCAAGCGCGCTGCTTGTCATATACCGATGACGATGCCAGTTTCTGGTGCCAAGCCAGCTAGAACCTCTTTGTCACACTACCCGACCAGGTTTTTGCTGCTGAGGTCATCTCAGGTCAAGTTAGGTCAAGGTCAATAATATGTGTTTGTATGTCTGTGTGTGTCTGTGTGTATACTGATGTGTGCACCGATTGTTTATGTGTCCATATTACATGAAATCATGATCTGAGAAGCTTTACCAAAAATGTAGTCAAATTCAAAAAAAGTAAATTCAGCTTGCCTAAAACGCAATTATCTTAGATGACCTAGGTTGACCTTGACCCTGACCTTGACCTCTGTACATCGTCGAACAACATGTTTCATGATAGGTGGGAGGTAGGATTGGCATAAAAGGCCGAAATCAAGGTGTTAAAAGCTCACAAGGCCCATAGCCAACGCAAGATGTTGAGAATTGGCCATTTGGGTCATGACATGACCTAAAAAACAAGGTCATATCTCCGAAACCAAAAACCACAGAAACTTGAAATTTTCAGTGGACATCAAGAAAGGATAGAGGAGCTGCTATACGAAAAATCAGCCTTCTAGCTCTAAAAATGTTGAGTGCAGAGCAGAAAGACTACCTGGGGGGGGGGGTGGCAACCACCCCCCCCATGTGCGGGCGAGGGTTAAAAAGCTCAAGTAACATCATAGAATTAGAATCAACGCCTATGGGGCCACATTGTCAGCCGTTTCATCAAGGATGAGCTCTGGTTCATCTCTCCATTGTTTCGAGGAGTACCCGACCTGCCCCGATATCCCCAGTTTGACGACGTCCCGTTATTTTTACCTGTGCCGTGTCATCAGCCGTGGTGCGTCGCCCCGCCCGCTGATCCGGCGCGGAGAGCGCGCTGATGAGCTCTGACGGACGCCGGGGACGCCGTCTTTATCCAGCCGCGGAGCTCAGCGACGGGCGAGCTCCAATCTAGCAGCCGAGATGGCCTGTCGAGTGGCAGGGCGCCGATCGGTCGGCTGCGTCAGCTAGAAATTAGAAACGGCGCGACGACAGACAGCCCGAGCGAGCCGGGAGGCATCGCAGCAGTTTGGCTCCAGCTTTCCGACTTCAGATGGCTGGAGACTGCATCAATGGGTGATTGAGCGTCAAGCGCCACATTTTGCAGAGACAACTTATCCTTCAGAAGTTTACTGTAATGAAGTCTCGTGACCTGATGCAACCGATCGAAATTCGAATTCTATTTAATCTTCATTCATTTTTTTTATTATCGTTTCTTAGATCGCAGAGCTGTACGGAATGCATTTACCGTAGCTGGGCACTACTCTTTCCAGGTGAATGGGTTTCGTTACTCCAACTCATACTATACACATATGACCCAGGTTATTTCGCGTGTGTGGGATCATTCGTGAGAGAGAGAGAGAGAGAGAGAGAGAGAGAGAGAGAGAGAGAGAGAGAGAGGGAGAGAGAGAGAGAAAGAGAAAGAAAAAGAAAGAAAGAGAGAGAAAGAAAAAGAGAGAAAGAGAGAGAGAGAGAGAGAGAGAGAGAGAGAGAGAGAGAGAGAGAGAGAGAGAGAGAGAGAGAGAGAGAGAGAGAGAGAGAGAGAGAGAGAGAGAGAGAGAGAGAGAGAGAGAGAGAGAGAGAGAGAGAGAGAGGAGAGAGAGAGAGAGAGAGAGAGAGAGAGAGAGAGAGAGAGAGAGAGAGAGAGAGAGAGAGAGAGAGAGAGAGAGAGAGAGAGAGAGAGGAGAGCTACCAGCGCTGACCGGCCCTCGGCCGTCCGGTCCGAGCCCCTGGGGGTAGTCTGAGAGCTCTGCCATGTCACGCTAACGGTGCAGCAACAAACGGTCGTAACTGGTCAGTGGACGGTCCGAGAAACAAAACCAGCTTCAATAGTTGGCAGCACATGAAAAATAAATGAGAGCGGCCTATATCGCTTTGATCAATAACTTGGGAGAAAATGAGCCATTTCATCAGTAGGGCCTGTAAGACTGTCCCAGAGTAGTAAAGGAATCTTGGTCCCAACTGTGTCTGCATTGGCGTTGTGGCACGGCATCCACTGTACGATTCCGCTGCCTAGCGCGGCAGGTTTTCCCGGATCTTCAAAAGACGCTAACGATAACAAAACGGTGCGAGACGGAGCGATTTTTCACGGCAGGGTTTCTCTGCCGGAGCAGTCTAGCTACGAAAAAAAGTTGTTCTCTGCCAACGGCGACACTGGAACGCCTGCTGTGTCTGTCGTCAGAAACGGCAGGGTCTTTAACTGAGAAGCCCTCCTGTGATGTTTTTGATGTCTAGAACAAGGAGAGGGTTTTAATTACTGGAGAGAAGTAGCGTCGAAATAAGTGATGGATAGGTACTGGAAAGTTACAACATCGATGATGAATGTTGATGAAGAGAGCTGCTGACGGCGCGTGACGTCCCAGTTACTTTCCGCTGCGACTTTCGAACTTTATCTTCCGCATCCCTCGGCTGAAAAAAGGTGCAATGCAGGAGCAGGTATATGGTAAACAATTGGGAGACGGTATTCAGCAGTTTCGAACATCATTCACTCAACTTCAGTTTTTCTAGCCGGCGTCATTAGCTACATATATGACATTTTAGCATTATACATAAAACTAAACCTGAAATTTTGCGAGAAATAAATATCTATTATCTGATTATGGTCAAGTCGCCATCATGGTCACAATCAGCTGCAAATAAAAAAAAACATGCTCGACAGTAGCTATCTTTTCATCAACTAATATTGTTTCCATCCTACCTTTCGCCTGCGTGTCATTATTTGTTTTGTTTCGACTCTCACCGGCACCGCCATCCGTCCATCTGAACTGCGCCATCATCCACCCTCCCGTTCCCCGTAGTGCGTTGTCCGCCTGCCTATGCCAGCGCCGCGCTGTTGTGCTATTCCACCTCCAATACCACAGGCAGCCGGTGGCGCTATTCGTCCCTCGGTGCCGCTCGGCTATGCGTGGCTCTAATCCAGTTGGTCGTCTGAATGTGATTTATGGTGTGACGTCGTGGGATCCCGCGGCCGATCGTTACCAACAAGGTGACAAGGAGGATACGATCTCTCGGTTCAGCGGAGAGGCAGGCGGGGAAGGGTGGTGCCGCGCATAGCCTGAGATATTTCGGAGCGGTTTGCAATATGATGATAATAAACTCGGCAGGGTAGAATTGGTAGGTATAACAGCAAGCAACCTATATACGAGATTTGCATGCATCGTAGAAATATATCACATATACCTAAAAAGGCTTTATCATTCCGACTGCAACACCATTGGGCCGCGCACGACTGGGGCGGCTACAGAATCGTCTTTTGTTTTTCTTGCAATATCTTCTAAAACGCTATAGGCGCATTGAGACAAAACTGTCAGAGGCGCCGCACACCAAACTAATGCCTACCACTATCGTGTTCCTGAGTTCAACAAACTGCATCTTATAGACAATTTTTTTTTTTTTGTTAAAAATTTCATGTTAGAAATTTGACCTTTTTTACCTGAACGTAACCTGATCGTCACTACAACGAGCTTAAAATGACCACGGACAAGGCAGGCTGCAGAGCATACTTTTTTCTAGTTCCCTGGTAAAAATAGACCGTAGAACTTGTGTCATAAGACCTAAATATGCCTTCATATTTTGGTGACCTTATGTGACCTAATTTGACCTAGTTTTGACCTCAAATATACTAAGCGCATAATTGTAACTCTCTGGATGGCTTCAATGTGACACCAGCCAACACTTGCGTTTTGCAGACTTTTTTTTTGCAAATTACAGGCGTCGCTCAAACTGGCTTGTTCGGTTGCATATGTATAATATATTACATATTTCACATAGAAACTGGCTAAGACAGGTGAGATGCTCGTATAATCATAGTTCCCTCAGTTCTCCGTATTTGTGGCAGTTTCACTAACAGAATCTTGCTGCAACCATTTAACACAGGGGGTGAGAGAGGACCTTGACGTTTTATTCCTAGGCTCTATGATTGATGGTATATTAGGCTAGTTCTCTTTGTTAGGCAGTTCGCTAGGAGGTGATAAAATCGCCCAAAATACTGTGAACAGTTTTTCATACTGCAGGTCTTCGGCAATACGCCGCACGGCTGGGTGATTGGTATGAAAGGCCGCTGGATAGCCGGCCGCCTCGCAGAGTCGGGTCAGCTCAGTCATCACTGCCGCCGCCAGCCCGCGCTTCCGATGACCAGCAAGTGTATGTAGATAACCAATGCACCCATCGTGGTTAACCAGCGCCCAGCAGGCCAGGCCGTCGGCAGGCAGGGGCTCCTGGTCGTCATTTCCACCGTCCTTCGGCGGCTCGACGGGCTCGGTGATGAATGCTCCGGCAGATAATCCCGCGGCGAGACCTTCGCCGATCATCTTAGGTGCGTACTCCACCTCGGCAGTGTACGGCCAATAGCGCAGCACTGTGCCGACGTGCTCTGGAAGAAGTGGCCGGATGGACACGCCTTGCCTGCGAAAAAGAACGGTTGGAAATGATTAAGTTTGAACTATGTTCTAATCCGGTCAAAGTTGTCAGTAAACGATGACAATGATGATGACGACGATAATACCAATCCTATTTTTTATATATAAAATCGTTATTGTTAACAAAATAGTTCGCATCCCATGAGACGCCTGAAAATATTATACCGATATGAAGTTTGTGATATAATAGCGAGTAATTGCACATACCTTGATATTGTTTGTACTTCGGCAAGCCCCTCAGGCCGAGCAAATGATGTTTGATCCGAGATGAAATCAAAACGGAAGCCCATCTCACTAGCTGCGTCTTTCACTGTGGCCAACAGACTCTCGGGCCAACAGTCGGCCCGAAACCTGCCGCCCCAGATGGCTGAGCGTAGGTCAGGGTGCCTGAGGATCCTCGCCAGCCGGCTAGGGGTGGATGGGCTGTCTGGTGCCGCCACCGACACCACACGGAAATCAGCCATAGGTCTCTGTGAAAAAAGACAGACAGCTCATTTTCTGCATTCTGACTTAGGTGGAAACTAATATCATCAACAGGGGATTGAAAGTGGTTGAACTTTTCATACTGGTAAATACGCAGACAAGCATGTTTTCCAATAAAATATCAATATTTAAAAAAAAAACTTTTGAGTGAATACGTGTACACGGTTGATTAAAAGGAGTGTGATATGAAAAACAAATGCGATAGTTACTTACCGTGACCAGAACGACCAAGATATCTTCTGACTGCCCGCTGTAGAAAAGCTCATAGGGACACTTGTTCACACCATTCCTGAGCAGAAGCAATCCGAATCGCATCTGAAATATTATGATAAGGGTCATTCAAGGCAAATCGTTTACCCAAATATTCACGCTTGGGTGCGAACTCATGTCTAGATCCTAAAAATGCAATGATGTGCCATAACAGTTTAAAAGTTCGTATTTTTTTTTTTAGAGAATACGTGTACACAGTCACACAGCAAACAGTTTCCTTAGGGGATCACTTTGATTAAAACATGCACACAAAATTTGCCCAAATGCTTGATGGTTAGATGTAGTCTTTACTTCATTCTTTGACGGAAAATAATCACAATAACGTCAAAAGAACAAGCGGATGGATGAATGAATGAATGAAATATCGAACAATCAAATGAATGAATGATTTAATAAATGAAAAGGGCATAAATGTATCAATTCAAGAATGACTTAACCTACTTTACATAACCTCGACACCGCTAAACAGAACAGAGTTGTCTCGCATATGCAGCAATTTGAGGATTGATTTCCCCCTCCCCCACAAAGAATTAAGTCAGTTGCTTGCTATCCATTCATCATAACATTTTACATCTGCCATACGAATTGTCTTGACAAGCCATAATAAGGTTCTGAAGATGTTTTGCACATGTAGAACCAGCACTTAACGTTAACCCGCGAGTTGCTGGGGGGGGCGTTAAACGCCCCCACTTTTTTCGCCGGGCCATAGCATAAAAACAGCGCGCCGCAGGCGCGCCAAATTTTGGGTACCTGTAGGGAATTGATTGAAGTTTATTGTGACAAAGTTTCAAAAAAATCGGTCGGAAAATTTTTGAGATATCGAGGTTTTAGTGACGTCATGATTTCTAAGTTTTCGACCAAAAACGGCATATGTTCAAAAAATCATATAAAATCACAGAATAGACATACAGACATGCCGTAAACGCCATTAGACTGCCAATACCATGATGAATCAAATGGCTATCTTCGATTATTGATTATCGTTCCGCATTTTCCAAAATCTTGAACTGAATCTTGGCAATTTTTCGTGACTACTTCACGACCATGATACATGAATTTGTTAAATTGAAGTTTTTGAGCCAAACACGTACACATATGATAAAATTAATGTCACCATCGTGTTCTACGCCCCAAATTACCTATAAAACATGTGTCACAGGCTGCGAATATCAGTTTTGATTTTCGGGGATATGTGCCTACCCGGTTGACCTGACCTTGACCCTGACCTATGCTTGACTGACCCCTCTATGGAGCTGACACTCTTGTAGTCCTTATAGGGTGGGTTGTGCACCGTTTTGACAGAGTTTATGGCGAGAGGCGCCCATTACGAAGTCCTGAAGTCCATGCTACTGAAAGCCCGATTTCAGGTGTTTGACCTGACCTTGACCCGACCTGTGACCTCAAAATTCAACTTTAAAGTACTCATCTGAAGCGTCTCGTCGCGCTCTTTCGTTTGCCGCCTCGTGCGTTTCGCTGCGCCTATTGGTTCTCGAGTTATCGGCTGGGGGCGTTTAACGCCCCCCCCCCCCCCCAGCAAACGGTGGGTGGCGAAATACCCCAGCAACTGCCGGGTTAACGCACAGTAGCAATTCCTTACCTCACTGCAGCTACCTACCTCAGCGCTGCGCGTTCCGTGTCTCTCCAGCTGCGTCACCAGGCGATCCAAGTCACCGGGCTCTGCACGAACCACCGTCTCAGTATCGCTGACGGGTGTCGAGTCCATGGCGTCAGTCTCACACTCCAGACCGTCCTCAGTCCTCTCTAATCTCTCACTGCCAGCAGCACCGGCTCGCAACTGTGTCCTCAATGTGAGACACACACACGCCGGCAGCGACTGGTCCCACTCACTGACTCCTGCCGTGAGACTGAGCCACCACCAAACCAGTGACCTTGAACCGCGGTGAACCCACCAGTCAGCTGAGCGCCGTCAGATGCGCTGACTCGGCTGGTGTGGTCGTTACGACGGCTGGCGTTACATCACATGTGTGGACACCAGACTGTCGTGAACCGTATCTGTTGCTATGGCAGTCGCTACCGATTTGGCAAACCATGTTTTGTCTTTGACTTTTTAAATACGGATGCGTAATAGCCTACGCCATGAGAGGGGAGGTGATGCAGGACGTTTTCACGTCAAAGTGCTTGCCATGGCTACACCAACAAAACGAATACCTAGGTAAACGATAATTAACGATAATAATGCGGTAAGAAGCGCAGTGCAAAGATGGAACCGTCCCGCACCAGCACAGTCTACCATTCAGGCGGCGAGCAATGGCCTGCGCCCGCCGCGCCGCTCCGGCAGGATGTTTGACTTAACACCGCTATTACTAGAAAATGTGTGGGCCGATCTACCTATCGCTTGCACGGGTAGATTTGCAATTCAATTATGGACAGATACCGAAAATTTGACGGCAATGTAATAATTGCAGCGTGAGTTATTAGCGAAAAACAGGTGGGGTTGGCAAAAGCCGCCCCCTTTCGCTGCGCGTAACGTTGCACTTCTTGCTGTTATATCATCCAAAGTTATCGTTGGCCCACTCTAACTTTCTCAGCACGTGTGCCTTACGTATAGATGGTATAGAGGAAGACAATATCTAAATTTGAGCAAAATCGAAGGGTACCCATTTTTCACAAATTTATTTTAAGAAATCAATTCAAAATAAAATAAACTCAAAATCATCATAAAATGTACAAATTGCCAAATTTAACTAGCATACCTCCTTACATACACGTTTCAGTTTGTTTGAAATTAGGTAATAGCTTCAAAAATGTTGAGGCTATAGATCTTTCAAGATTGCAATACACGTCCAATTCTGCTAAAAAAGCAGAAGTTGTATCTCTGTAGCCCGAGGGCATATGACAAAATCCTTTCACCCTCAGAGGTTTCACCCAATAGCCAATAAGTATACCAAGTTTGAACAAAATCGCAGAGGTGGCCGATTTTGGCTAAGCCGGTTGACATTGAATTTAATTAAGGTTCATTCAGTTCAATTTTGACGATATTTGTCCTTTAGAGTTTACACGATTGATATATAGGTCAAATTTGAAAACACTAGCGAAAGGGCTTCAAAAAGCCTATCGATTTTTTCTACTTCGTGACGCTCTAGCTCTATTGGCATACAAACTATGAACATTTTGTCCTAGTAACGTAACATAAAACAATCAGAGGACAACAGGAGCTGATATTTTTTAGCCAGCAAGCTGATAAATCAGGATGTATTATTCCGAAAAATGTCGGCGTCGCTCGCAGACGATAAGCGTCCATCCGCTAAGCGAGCCAGCCCAGAAAATGGCCTACAAATGGCCTGTCAGGAGAATAGCGGGCGGACAAGCCATGTCACCGTCTGAATGACTATGGAGGCATGACGTGGAACAGCTAATGCCGTGCCATGAAAGTCTTCTACTGCTCGTACTCAGGGATGCAGAAAAAGACGGATTTGCTTTATCTTACGTGGGCGATAAACGTTTTATTGTCGGCGACAGACGATAAATGTTTCTTCAGTGCTGTTGCTCATCGGCTGTGCTTGGGTTTCTTTGAAGTAGAGCGATCAATAGGTGTATTTCGGGTTTCACTGAAAACACTCGATCGTTGTCCATTGTTTTCTCGCCACTTGCTTACCGGCGTTATGCGACCATTTGCCAAGGATCATTGACTGCTGTTCACTGTTTGCTTGCTGTTTGCCACTAACTGCTGGCCATTCGTCGCTGTTTGTTGCCTGCTGTCTGCTGATCGCTGACCCCTGTTTTCTGAGTTCAATGGCATAGGACTGCTGACTGCTGACCACTGACTTCTGACCACTGACCACCGTCTTCTGACCACTGCCAGGCTCTCAGTGCTGACCGGTCCCTCTCGGGGACCAGCTGGGACGGTCGGGAGACGGATGGTGTGATCGGTTCTGAGCCCCCACCAGTCGGACGACAGATCAGGACCGCGGGTGACTGAGTGGTGTGGCTCGGATGACCGCGCCGCGCCAGCATTACTGGGCGCCGCCGAAATGTCATGGAGGGAGAGAGAGAGAGAGAGAGAGAGAGAGAGAGAGAGAGAGAGAGAGAGAGAGAGAGAGAGAGAGAGAGAGAGAGAGAGAGAGAGAGAGAGAGAGAGAGAACGGCAGGAAAAAGCCGGATAGTAGAACGACTGATGCACTGAAATACTGACTGACGGCCTCCGGCAACGATATAATCGACGGATGGAGCTGGGGTGGGGACATGAAAATTGTTTAAAGAAGTGCATGAGAAATCAAAGAAATTGAGTGAAAGCAAGGGAAGATGAGAGAGGAATGAATGGAGGGAGAAACTGAGATAGACAGACAGAGAAGCTAGGCGAAAAACAATGGCATAGGTCAATGGTAACGGTGGGTATACAAAGCAACTCAAGCGCACACGAAATTGTGTTATCCTTTTCAGTATGAGCTTGAATTTCAACATAGAGTCAGTCACACATTAATTGGTACTCAAAAATATTGATTAAGGACACCGCTAACGCACTGTGCAGTCGAATGGTTATGACATTTACGAATCATGTACGAATATTTTATAACTGCATCGCGATTGACGAGTCATCGGGAGGGCAAGTCACGTATGAAATGCGCCCATCATGGGCGGAACTACTATCTTGATTGAATTTAATTAAGGTTCATTCAGTTCGGTGTCCAGATCGAGGGCTAATTTATGACCTGCTATCGATATTCATCGATAGGTTTCAGTGAAGAGGCACAGAGCTCACAGGTTGACGGGCATTACAAACGTTAACTTATCAAATGGTAGAAGGTTTAGGTAATAGGCGTTTTCATGACGGCAAACTGGCAAACATTTGGTCACATTTGGTGCAGTTTGGTCAAATTAGGAACATTAGATGATGCTCTCATTTCGAGCTTCTACAATCGAGTACACCATACACTCAAGCAGTAGCTTTGCTACAATGCTATCAACCAAGTCATGGCTCCACGTCCAAACATTTGGGCATTCTTGGTCTCCAGTTTGACGACCCCTCCCCCCCCCCCAGTTTCAGATCACCGACCCCCGTCGACACTGTCCCTGTCTCACCATCTGACAGTCATAATAAACGAGCGCGCCTGTTTGGGACCTGAGCAAACAAACAGAGCGGTGATGATGTCCGGGACCATCGATTTCGCTTTGATTGTGCGTGAAGCGACAACATGCCACCCGAGAGGGCCGATGATGAGACGAGAGACATCTGCAGGTGTCGTCGTACTGCGAATTACAGCTGGGATACGCCCAACGATAATAACGACGCGGAGACAACGGCAGCCGTCGTAAAACCGTCAACACGGAAGTAGCACTGGTTTACTGACTAACACAAGGTGTACACTGTACGTGAAAAGGTGACATACATGAAACTTACAACTGCATACACATACGAATAACAATGGAACATGTGATGCGAAGATAAAACTACGCCACGTCTTTCAGACTTCGATTATTTCAATCTAGCATGTATTTTGACTGTTTTATGATGTAATCGCCTCTTGCTCAGGCTGAAGCTCGCATGTTGGAGGCCTTAGATTGGATAAATCTATGCACTATTTAGGCCAAATAAATACAACATAGATCCACGGAGGCCGAAGCTCTATTTTCACTTTCCCTGGTTGATACCTTTACATTTACATACGAGTGCATAGTTACTACTGCCCCAAGCCATTTGTCCCCGGTAAATAAAATAATTAACATTTGACGTGCAACGATCGGCCTGCAACTTCCTTATTCCTCCCTAGTTATGAACCGTAAACCATTCAGAACCATTTGATGTGCTCAGTTAATGACGAACCATGGAGCAGCTGCGCTCAAAATCGACCCTACGAGAGCTGCTGATCGGCGTTCATGGCAATCACCTCTATCAGGGTTCCTAACTACTTGACCAAGAATTCATCAATGTTTGATACGGCGACAGCCGACAAGGTACATAATGACTGGAGAATCGCTGGATCAGCCTCAGGAAACCAAAGTTCAATGCTGATTGTGACCACTTGTGTAATGCTAGACAAGGTAAAATGTTCACCCTGCAAGATGGAATATCAATGCATAGAAAAAAGAGTATTCGTTTCTTTTGCATGCCTTGGTGTGGAACAGCGAGTTGTAAAAATGTGTAATAAACATATGAAGGTATTTGTGGCTCATTATCAGATCCTAGGTACTTAGTATTATCACTTATAAGTGGTCAGCTCAGCCATTGCAAATGCACAATGCACAATTGCACAGGCAACATCCCTCGTGTTGAAGCTCACTCTGCTAGCTGTCCGAGCCAATGCGATAGCAGTATATGGTACGGCATCGATCACATTCCGACAACAATAGCTCACTCGATAACCATCCAGCTACAGGGATGATCAATGTAAATAAAAGGCCGTTCAAAAAGAACATATGCTCTCACTGTTGTCTGAATAAAATTGATAATTTAGAATGGAATTTAGGCATTTTTTATTACTTCTTTTATGTAGTACCTACACAGAAGGTTCTGGGCCGTGTCCTCATGGTCCGTCGCCTGCCGTGGCGGCCGTGGCCGTGCCGCAGCTCCGTCCAGCGTTTGTTATTGAGCCCCGTGCGCACCGATCGTCCAGTCAGGCCACCAATCAGGAGCCGACCCAGGGGACCGGCCGGCCACTGGGGATGATTACTGCCCCGAGCGATCCGTCTTGCCCCCGTGCGCCGCCGCCGCGGCGGACCGCCGGCTCTGGATCCCTCTGTGATCGGACTTCCGACAGAGATATGTGTAGGTAGGTATGTCGTTTGGTAGTTGCGGGTCATTGTTGATGTTACCGTTGCAGCTCATTGATTGAATTGCAGCACAATCTCTTTTTTATTTCACTCGTTTTTTGTAGGGACAAGTGATAGTTCGATAGCCGCCACTATTATT